AATAAAAATAAATTAAAATCAAAACTAAAATTAAAATTTAATTTAAAATCAAAACTAACTAAAAAAAAAAATTAAAACTTTATTTCTTTTTTCCAGACGACCATTAAAGTTTTTACGAATTGTCTAAAAATCGATATCGAATATAAAACACTAGGCATACAATGGGACACCACCAGCAAGGAAGTTATAACACAGTTGCTCAGGCGGTAAGCTTTTACTAAAACCTTTTAAGTCAGCTATACTAAATTAAACTTTTTTTGTTGTTTTGTACAGCTTGAAAATGCGTCATCGCGATCCACGTCTCTTCTATCTCTCTATGGAAGTATCGGTGCGACGTGCTGGTGTGAAGACCATACTCGTGTTAGATGATGATACACGACCGGCTATACTACAAGCATGTCACCCGAAAGGCGAGTCAAGGTGAGAAGAAATTGAAAATTATAAATTTTTCTATTTCAAAATTATAGTTTTGTAATGTTAGAAAGCTACTATGAGCACTTTGGCTTATATATAGTTCTTGAACTTACAGATTCTGCTTGCAATTAAAGCCAGGTGGCTTAATTCGCGTACACACTTCCGCCCTACAACCCTCCTCACAATATAAATCTTTAGTTATCTCCGAGGAAACAACATCGGATGAGTTACTACAACTGTTGCTTTCTTGCTACAACTCCATGGAACCCGTCGAACAGTTCTCTATATACGAAGTAAGTAATTTCGCCCATGTTTATTGTTAAAAAAAACAAACCCATGGAATTTTTGTGCTCCATTTTTGAGTGTTGAATTAAAGTCTTGAGTTTTATGCTAAATCTTTTACTTCTCTTTTAGGTCTGCCCCGGTCAGGAATATCAACGTAAATTGCATCCCGACGACATACCGCTACGTGCTCAATCCGAACGCATGCGTCGTGGTGAAACCTGCCATTTTCTGGTACGTCGCAATCCGAACTACAATCGTCGCCGCCAACTGCTAGCCACGCTCAATGGTTTAACTAGCAACGGCACTAACAACAACAACAGCAAGTCTTTTGATGCTAATAGCACCATTTCCTCATTGGAGGATGACACCAGCCTCTTAGATATATCCATCGAGTCTCTAACCGACGATCTACACAGTTTAATGGCTAGCGATGAAGATGAAGACGGCGCCTCATCCAACTCTGGCTCATCGGACACATCCTCTGAGGGTTCAAACGGTATGCGACGCACGCCTTCCACACTCTCCGTCGTACCAATACAACCGCAATTGAAGTCAAAAGCCGTCGCCGCCATCGATGTGTGTCCGAAGTGTCGCAATACATTTAAATCATGCGAATTTTGTCATAAAAATTCGTCAATGATGATGCAATTACAGCGTTCGAACAGCATTTCGAGTAGCAGTAGTTGTGCCACGACCAAAACCTTACAAATGCATCTGCCAAGCTATAGCCCAGTGTATAATATACGCGAAATACGCACAGCTTCGCATAGCTTCTCCGCACTCGGCAATGACAAAAAGCTGCTGGATATTCAGTTGAATGGACGCTTTGATACGAGCGCCTGCACGCGGCTACGTCCACAAAGCGTCTGTGTAGCGCGCTCCACGCGCATGCTCACTGACGGCAATGGCAATAGCAATGCGGTGGAGGGCACGTTGACAGCACAGGCTGCCAATGATTTGAATGGCAATAATGTGTCGGCTGGTGCCGCGTCTTTGACGTCAGCGGCGTCCTCAGTTGGAGGAGAGATGGTGAACAATCATCCCGCTAAGGGTTTGGGGCATTTCGTCTATCTGTAGATAGGTTTTATGGCGTTTTAGTGTAAGGCTGTGGAGAGTTGCGTTCTGTATTCTTCACATAGACTAGTCAACTAAAGAAAGAGAAAATTTGAGAAATGTTGCGTATAAATATTTTTGGTTTAAAGATTGTATGAGTCGCAGAATTTCAGTTGTGTCGTTGGAACCTTGATCTAAGCATTAAATTTTAAAATATCAGTTGTCAAAGGGACTGTGCGGGCGCTGTTGTTATTGCTAAGCTGGAAAGCAGCCGGTCAAAATATTGTTTCTATTATTTATTTTTTCCTTTAAAAAACAAAAACAAGTTTTTATAATTTGGTTTTCTAAATTAAATTAAATTATTTTAATTTTCAAA